CTAAAATAATCTTGTTAAATTTAGCAAACAAACCAGAATCCAGTGGTCACAGCATAATGAATATGCATCTTCAAACCAAAAAGAGCAAAAAAAAGGTACACTACACAAAGGACCTGCAGAGACACTATTATGATGTCAAAATGCTTGATTTGTTTAATGATTTTGTTAGCATTCATGAAATGATTGAAGATGAAGATGGTGCTCATTTACAGATCAAACAAAAGATAATGTCAGGCAATGAAAATGAAACCAAATATCCAAATACAAAGTTGTAACAGCAGCCCAGTGGAGAGGCCAATAGCAGACACCAAGATCAATGATTTGAAGAAATTTTTAGCAAAGGCCACCTACTAATGGAATATTCATGGGAACAAATTACTAGGAAAAAAACAAGGAACTGAATGTCCATAAAAAATGTCAGAATTGTACCAGTATTAACAGATCTAGGCATCATCTCGCAAACTATAGTATAAACCTTGCATGAGAATTGAAAGCAGTGAAACAGAAAACAGTTTATCTGTGTCAATTCTGCTTCGGTCAACTGCATGTTTGTTCTACTCAATATAAATATAATGGTAGATCGGAAAGGCCCAGCAAGGAAAAATGTAAATGGAGTTCAGTGGTCCAAAGCCAAAATTCAAATTGTTTAAGCAATCCCAAAACTTACAGTTGACAGAATGCATAGCAATGACTGTACATGGTTGCGAGATATTGAATCACCAATCAATGCCCATCTTTTGTTCCTCATCACCTCAAGAAACCTTTGAGCATTAAATGGAGGTAACTGGCAGTCTCGCGGATTCCACCTCCAGAATAGATAGCCAGAATCTGTTCGTCCATTCCTCATGCAATTCTGATGACCTTCAATCAAGGAGCAACTGGAATTTGTGTACATTGGTCCCGATGGATGGGGAATCCAATCCCCGGTGAAAAGATCACACTTTCCTGCATTAAGTTCTTTAAAACCAAAGCTCAGTCTTAACAAAATCTGTAAATAGAGGTTTCATGGAAAGTAAAAGAGCGTTAATATCCAAAACACATACTAATAGATTCATTTATCAAACATGCAGCTAGAATAATATCAATGAGCGCTCAATTGAACCAAAAAGGAGCAATTAATCATGCAACACTAAACCAAGGCCACCATAAATATTCCAGCATTCAATATAGCAGCAACCGAACTGTGACAAGACCCACCAAAAGTTTCAATCTTGCAAATCACAAGAACTATTTATAGCACTTAGATCTCATAGGGCACCCGGAGATGAATACCCTTCTCAAAAGCAAGTCACTCCATTCCCAGCTTATCCAATTTTCATGTACATTGATAGCAAAAGCGGAAAAAGAAAAGATCTCTAAGAACAAAACAACTCAGATTTGCTAAAAAGATTTACCCTTTTGAGGTGTCTCGTCGTCAGGTTCTTGTAAATCAGCAGATAGAGAATCCTTTGAGGTATTCCCAGAAGAAGGTGGCTTTGGGCTATCAGCAGAAAGAGGTGGCTTAGGGATATCAGCAGCAAGAGGTGGCTTTGGAATATCAACAGTAACGGGTGGTGGTTTTGAGATATCAACAGAAGAAACAGGTTCCTTTGACAATTCAGTGCTTTCAGCAAAGGCTGTTTCTATATTTGGTTCAAAACTTGAGGATTGATAGAAAAGGAGTCTAAATGCAAAACCCAGTAAGAGAGTTGCAATTGCTAGCTTAAATATCCAGTTGTTGTACTTGTTAAGAGACTTCAACCTCCAAATTAACTTCATTTTCTTCGCTTCTTCTTCCTTATTTCTTCAAAGCTTTAGTGATGTGAAGTGTCAGGCAGTAATAAAAGTGATCAAGAAGAAGATGACAGTGAAGTGGATCAAATAAAAGTAAGTAACCGACAAGCAATGCTAATTTATGGAAAAGACAAGGATGGTTAGAAAGAAGGAAAAACCAGAAGACGGGGATGTCAGCTGGCAGTTTCTTTTTTCTTCCTTTTCTTTTCTTTATAATTTCCCATTTTTATTTTTCTCTTAATAAGTTTATTTAAGGAAGACTGCCATGACCTTCCTCTATTTAAGTGCGATGATATTTTATCTTCTTCTTTTTTCAAAAAATACACTTTAATTTTTCCAACTTAAAATAATAATAATAATAATAATAATCATATGTTTCAAAATAAATCAAGATTTGAATCTCAGATAGAAAGTGATTGGGTAATAATTGTAAATGATTTGTGATTAAAATAGCTAATGATTAGGAAATTGTAGTGGTTAATTATTATTTTTTTCGATTCCCATTATGGATGAGAAAGCGGTGATGGATTCCAGAATGCATTGCTGGCAAATTTCATCTTCACTTTCACCTTAATTCAAGTGAAAGTATGCCCTTAGCTGCCAGGATTTATGCCACCGCAAATCATGCAGGTTGATGCTCAAATAACCTAAGCCAACAGAACAGGATTTTAAATGTAATACAAATTAACACCCATTGCTTGAAATTTGCATATTTTTCTGGTTTAATAATTTTGAATATTTTAGCGTGTTGATATAAAAAATATTTTTTAATGAAAAAATTATTTTAATAAATTTTCGAATAAAAATTATTTTAAAATATATTTAACATCCTACTAATACATTCGGTTAGGTTCCAGTCACACGTTACAGCCTCTCTATTGGAGTTGAATGGGGGCGTTTGTAGCTGAGAAGACGAACAGGAATTATCCACGTGGAATAAATTATTGTTTAATCCTTGAGTTTTGAATATTATTACAATTACATTTGACCCTTATTGCCCGTTGTCCCATTCAAACATGCTGATTTTTCTCTACACCGCCGTCCGCCAACCAGCATGTGTTTAGATGAAAAAATAGTCAACACAGGTCAAACGGTTAAATATAAATTCTTCAAAAAAGAGGACTAAATTATAATAAGATTTAAAATGTAGGGACAAAAGAATATAATTCATGTATTGTCTTTGAATGCCCCAAAAGTGGACTTTAAAAAAAAAAAAAAATGTTAAGTGTGCAATTTTGTATCATCTTTCTTTGCCCCATGTAAGATTCTAAAATTATATAATTCAACGTAGTTTTATAGTTACGATATATGAATTATTTATGTATCAATATATTTAAGTTTTAACCATTAGAATTTTGATATTTTCTAGAAAATTAAACACTCCCGTGATTCATCTTTTCCTTATGTAGATAATAAATATTATTGATACCAAATTCGAAAAAAAAAATTACATGGAAAGTTTTTCAACTAAATCATTTTAATCACAATTTCTTTACTTAAGTTTATTATAAATTATTTTTTCTTAAATCAGAAAACTCATATGTATTGAGTTTTTTTAAAAAAAAGATGTAAAAGAAAAAAAATCAAGAAATTAATTTTTTTAATGATAAATCAACTCGTATCATATCATACTTCAAGCTATTGAAAAATTAATGATATTACAGAAGTTTACTTATGTATTATTTTATTCCTTCTTACTTTTCAATTAAAATTTTCTTTTAATCAAATTACAAAATAAAATGACATAATAGTATTATGTTAACTAAAATATAAGACTAGTTAATTATTAACAAATACTAAAAAGAATTGACTTTTTGCTACAGTAATGAATATAAAAATGTAGAGTAAAATATCTAATTATTCATGTTTTTTTAAAAATAAATAACAATAAAAAAATGAGTATTTAATCTACTATAAAAATTAAATGAATTAAAACAATAAAGGGAAAGATTAAGAAATAAAATAAATCAAGGAAAGGGTAAAAAAAAAGCAATCAAAAGAATAAGGAACAAATTCTATATAAAAATAAAATAAAATAAAATAACAAGGGAATAAATTAAAGAATCAAGAAAATAATAAAAAATAAGGACCAAATTTGATATAAAAATTAAATGAAATAAAATAACAAGGCATTAAATTAGAAAAATGAAGTAAATCAAGAAAATAATTAAAAAATAAAAAAAATAACAATTAAAAGAATAGATACCATATATAATAAATAAAAAAATAATTATGGAATGATAAAATTAAGGAGTGCGAGCGTCGAAATGAAGAAGGAGATAGAAATATTAAAAAATTTGGAGGGTTTAGCATAGAAATAAAAAAGAAAATAGAATATAAAAGAGAAAAAAAAATCATCAGTATTAAAGTAAAAATCTAATGACCGCTTTCTTTACCTAAATATGAAAGAGATGCTAAGAAAATTTCAACAACACCTTAAAAGTTGTTTGATGGTTGACAATGTTGCATACATCACCTAAAATACAAGAATACCTCTCACCGTATTGACATATGCATTATCATTTTTTTAATAATAGTAATATTTAAATTACCAAATTACTACCTAGTTAATTTGTTTACAACCAAAAAACAATGAAAAAAAAAGAAGAAAAAAACCCTTTACATCAATTAAACAAATTTAAGAATATTTTAGCAATTTTATTATGTCTTGAAAAAATAAAAATACAAAAACATCCATGTACCCCCAATTAATTAAATCTTGCTTATAATAATGATTTAGTAATTTTATTATGCTTAAAAAAATTTTAAAAATACCTATACGCTCACAATACAAGTTATGTAAAAAGGTTGTTCCATCCTTGCTAGTGTAATGGTTGTTTTTCAAGAATAGCAAAATAATAATTTCATTGAAATAATAGACAATAACATTGATGCCTCTTAGTTTTTTTATATTATAATAAAAAGAACCCTAAAAATCTTATTTATTTATTGCATTACAATTGCAAGTATTTTATTTAGATCTCGTTTGTCATTGCAATATAACATAATTTAAAAAATATATATATTTTTTAATATTTCTAGATAATACTGATATCACAAATAAATTTTATAAAATAAAAAAATACTTCAAAAAACTATCTCTCATTCTCTTAAACATACCATTAACATTATCGTGGTTGCATGGTTTTCAGTTGACAAATGATGGGCAACCTTGCTCAAAAGACATTCTGCTCAAGTGGCTCCGGCCTAATCCACCTTGTAACCATACGTTAACTTTTGACCGGAACTCTTCATTTAATGATCATTGAAACCTGCAGGCTTTTCGGAACAACTGTGGCGCTGCTGACCATTGACAATAACTAATCGGCTTGTCGACAGAGAGGCGTCCAACGTTATAAACCACGATGCACAAGAAGATTAGATGAATGCTATGCAGTTCCGTGTAAACATGTAGATGGATTTGACATTGCATCCATTGCAAGGACTAGACACCTAATTAGGAACTCAACAAGACAAAGGCAAATAATACAGGGTTGATGACCTCAGAATCCACAACTGATCAAGGACCTTAATCACAAAGATTTCTGGGAACCTTCATGCCAAAGCCACGCTTGGTCTTCTCAACTCTGTTCAAAACAGTCAGCAATCAGTACTACATCAATATACATTCAAATCCATTCCCATGAGAGCTAGCAAATACAAACTCTCCCATAAAAGTGGCAAGAAAGCTAACACGTACTCAAAAGAGTGAGCTGCCAAACAAGAAATATTCTTCACTTTCAATATTTCAGGCCATGAACCGTTTGATGGTGATTTTATGCATATAGAGCAAGGCAATTAAAAAACAAAACAAAGCAGCATCTCCTAAAAGTATATGAAAATTTTTCCTTCAATTTTCAAACATGATTTGTGTTGAAATTTTGTTCAAATAGATGAACGCAAAAGATTTCCTAATTTGCTCCATCTATACCTTTTGAGCATTTTCAGGCACATGATCCAAACATAAGCAGCGGTATTCGTGATAAAATTCTCCAGATAACCACTACAACAAGAAGGGGTTGACAAAGTTGATTGACGTATATATTACAGACACTTCTTGGGACCAGTTTTAAATTAGACACTATTTATTTACAAGTATTGCAGATTTTGGACCAGATTTTAGGAGTGACATATTTTACTTCCTCATATTGTCTATATGATAAAGCATCATTTATAGTCTGAAATCCATGATTCTAGTAACAGAAAAAACTCATTCCTGGAGGATATTTAAATTTCGACTATATACATAGCTTCCATATGTTCTATAGTCTGAAAACTTGTCGGAACATTGTCCAAGAATCTTTAGTAAGCAGTCAATGAGTGGAACTTACGTGGGGGCAAGTCTGCCTAGGCCATCAAGCTCTTTGCCAGTGTCCTGGTCAAAAACTCTCCCAGAAATTTCAACGATGTAGGACTTCTCTCTCTCGGTTGGTAGTCTTCTACTGGAAAGCAGGTCAAGATCTTTCTGATGCAGCTCTCTCCCATTAATAAAGACACTAGTGTTTCCAGAAGAGCAATTTTCTGGCATGGGATAATTAAATTCTTCAATGAAAGGCTGCAAAGGAAAAGAGATTCTTTGTCATGCAGAAATATTGAAGTTATCACCAATTAAAATATGTAAACTGAAGATCTCTTGATCTCACAGGAATAATGCCAAGGCAAGGTCCTCCTGTCACACCCCAGAATCCAGCTCGAACATCATACCTGATAAAGGCACATAAAGGGCAAATGTTAGTAATTTGTAGTATAAAAAAAAGGGCCATCTAATCTCTGATTTACATGCTCTGGGAAGAAGAAAGACATCAAATGGAAACTGCTTGGCCCTATTGCAGAGAAAAGTCTTACATACTATACATGATATTTATCCAGCTACCAATTTCAGATCATATAGGTGCTGTAAATAAGCACAGAAAAGAGTGGTACCCTTTCCTTCTTCATTTTATCATGTCTTAACCCTTCACACCTAATGAGCCCTTTTGTAATGGTATAAGGGTAACACAGGTATCTAAGTCCTATACGATTCTAATGTTCAGTTTTCATCTATTCAGCACCATTTAAAATTTACGAGCACTATGCTGCGTGCACAAGTAAGGCAACAGACAAGAAGCAAGAGAGTGTGAATACTAACCAGTAATCTCCAGGCTGAATTGGCCCAGCGAGCTTTTCAGCCCTTTTGACCATACAATCCGGAATGGGCTTACCATTAATTATAACATTAATTTTCTCATTAGGCAGGTGTTGATTAGATCTTGAGAAATCCCTGAAGCTCTTTTTAACGAGACCCAGAAAGAATGGTCCACTCCCCTTGTTGATCTTCAACTGATTTTCTTCATTACTTACCTCCGCAGAGTCTTGAGATACACTGGTGTTTAGATACTCATTGAAAGAAACCTCCATTTCAGTTGCCACTGAGACATTCACAGAGCTCTGCTGAGAAATGTTGTTTTCAAGTATAACATCCTCCTGCTCTGTCCATCCAACTCTGTTTACTTGCTCACATTTGTTTTCTGCATGACTAGATAAGACATCGCCAGAATGCTCTTGGAAAGGTGAGCCTTGAAATGTTGAAGGCAGTTCATCCTTTACGGGCAGCTCAGCAGCATAGGAAAAATCTCTCTCAACAACCATACTGTCCAGGTTCTCCTCTTCCTCTGAAGAAATAGAAGATGATGAAGCAAGGCTCTGCCTTTTTTCACATTTGCTTGTGTTTAGCTTCCGTTCTTTTGATAGTACATCTTTGAAATCTGCTGACTGGAAGTCGTGCCCATGATTTTCAAAATCATCAAAGCAAGTTGTACCACCAGCATTCAAACAGCCATCAGAATTTAATAAGACTTTAGACACCTCATGTGAGGAAATGCCAGCCTCGGCCAACATTTGTTTGTTTTCTGCTGGAACAGAAGTAATAAGCCTCTTGTTTTTTATTTCAAGCAAGATGAATGCTGAGCAGGAACCACATCGCAGTTTTCGCTGGTTCTTCTCCCTCACTTTAAGTTTTCTAGGAAGTTTTAGCAACTCAAAGCAATTACAGCAACTTATAAAGGGAGCACCACCAGCTATGGAACGGCAAAGCTGTTCATTTCCACGGGCTACCACCACCCTCTTAGGACAACTCTGGGGAAAGCCATCCATATCTGATTCAACATCACTTGGCCATCTTACATGTAGCTGTGGATCCTGAGGACTCAATGCAGGGGGATTTGCTTGAGGATGGTAAAGCAGTGGCCTATGTGTCATTGCATTGATATGTTGATTGGAATAGAAATCAGTTGAGGCCTTTGGGAACTTTTTATTGCTGAAAGTAGAGGGTGAGGCTTGTGAAGGAATATGCCAGTTTTTGTTGTAGCAATGAAAACAGGGGCATGCAGGTCCGTGATTTGATCTTCCATATGAATCCGATACCAGAGGTTTGTGACTGAAATCTACATGTTGACCTGCAAAGTGGTCATGAGGTGGTCGACGCAAGTATTGTTGGGGTGATTGATGGGGACGCATCCTGGGAGTTTGTTGCTGAAATAGATCCTCGTAAGCTGGAATTCCATTTGGAGAACGCTTTGATGGACTGTAAAAGTTCTGTGTATCCATGTCATGACTGTTCATATAAGGAGCAAGTCCATGGCCATAGTACTTGAAATAAGGGGGATTTGCTACATGCTTATCTGGAGTCAAGTGAAGCATCGAACTATTGGAAGTATCCTGACAGTGATAAGGATCAGGAGGAGCTATTTCACTGTACATAGGAATCCTTTCCCTTTGTTTCTCACCCACAGAACCAGATCGGCTGATTTGCTCTTGCAACTCATCTAACCTCCTAAGAAGCTCAGCTCGATCCTGCTCGAAATAAGTAATTTTTTCAGGGTTGTAATAATTCTTCACTGGCTGTTTGGATCCATAAGAAGAGGAACCCAAATGATAGTTTGAAAGGCCCTCCTCCGGATAAGCAAAATTTGGAAATTTGCTCTGTTTGACAGGCACTCTGTGGTTCCCTCCCCCTAAACCCTCTCTATCCGAACCCCATTGATCCATCACCCTTGTTGGCCTAAAAAACCCAGCAGAACTCTTAAATTGTGCTGAAATTTCTCGAATATCTTTCTCTCTACTTGAACTAACAGATTCAGATCTATTCATGTTCATGTCATTATCATCACGGCGAATCCAATTATCAATGGGATGCTTCATAGGCTTCTCTTTTTCTGCACCACTGTGATAATCCACATGCTGTTCCTTCACATTTATGTTGCTATTAGCATCAAAAATATCTTTCTCTTCTGCTTTCAACAAAGGACTTTTAACAAAATTCACATTTGTTTCTTCAAAGGTTCTTGCTTTTCTCCTATTATTTATAATCCCTTCGCTCTCCCTCTCCGTCTCAGATGCATTACCTAAACTACCACCCTCTTTCTCTGACAAACTCTCCAATTTCTCAAAGCCTTCTTCATCCCACCCCATTCCAGACTTCTCCAATACCCCACCATTTACAGTCACTTTCTTCTTTGCTGTATAATAAAGATAAAAAATAACAAATCAAACTCCCTATTTCACCAAAATTTACCTGTTAACCCCTTAGTTCCATTAAAAGAAGATCCCAGAAGGAAAAAAGCTTTAAAAAATTGAAACTTTGAAGCTATTGTTCACAAGTTGGACAAAAAATGGAATTTAAAAATTCGGATTTTCGTTTGATTTCTCAGTAAGCAAACAAAACAACGAGAGAAAACAGACATAACCAAAATCAAGATAGATAAAGGCAGAAGCCGAGCTAACCTCGAAGAACAGCACCACAACCACCACACTGATACACAGAATAGTCAGGGAGCTCTGGTAAGAGATTTCCACACTTTGGACAGCGAACTAACCGAACTTTTGCTGACCCTTCAGCCATTCTTGAGCCTCAAAAGCTAAAATCCAGATACAAAAACACAACAAACCAGACTCGACCCGGACAAAAAACAAATAATCCAAAACAAGCCTAAAAAAACCTCAAAACAACTTACTTCAAGACAAACAAAATATCCATATTATAGGATTCTAAGAAAACCGAAAAAAAGACAAAAGACTTCTATTTTTGAGGTTTTTTGTTATCTCTTTTTGTGAGAAATTTGAGGTTTGTATAAAACATGTAACATTTTTCTTCATTTAGAAACAAACATGAAAAAAGACAACATAGAAACTGGGGGGGTTGTTTAAAACCTAAGAATCTGTGGTTCCCAATAAAAGTGAAGGTTTGGAAGGGAGAGAGTAATTTGGACCGATTCCCGACAAGGTTGTTCGTAACTCTTTTTCCCGGGAAAGCGAGGGAAAATGTGAACGAGAAAAGGGGGAAACATGCGTGGTTGTTTGCTTGCAAAAATTGCTAGTACACGGTATCGTTTTTGACTTTCATGAGTTGTTTAATGTTATAGCTGCTACGACATTGACAGTGCATGCCATCATACGTCTGAAATAAGGAGCGGTGCCCATGTTTATTTTTCAAAAAAATAAATAATTTTTTTTAAATTAATATTTTTTTAATATTTTTATATCATTTTAATATATTAATTATTAAAACAATTTTTAAAAACTAAAAAATTATTATTTTAATATATTTTAAATAAAAAATACGGTAAAAAACAATCTTTATTATACTTACAAACAAATTCATGTCAGTTTGTTAATGTCGCGTTGAATTATTTTTAAAATTGTTTTTTATTTAAAAATATATTAAAAAATTATATTTTTTATATTAATATATAGAAATTATTAATATATATATATATACACACCAATTTGATATTTTTTAAAAATTAAATATCCTTTTAAAACAAACTCAAATATAATTTAATTCAAGTTTTTTCTTTAACCCTTCTCCTGTAAGGACAATCCAATGGTGTCCAATTCCAGCTATAAAATACAGAGACAATTAAAAATTCATAAAGGGATTGAAACATTGGACTGATGTCATGGGGAACAAAAGAGATGATGCATTAATTTGTTTTTTTCTTAGGTTTAAGTAAGTTATCAGAAGATTGATATTTTAAAAAATAATAATTTTTTAAAAGTTTTCCTTATATGATTTTAAATCATAACACAACGAGTGTACTTATTTAGCAATCTGGAAAAGCCTCTAATGGTTTTTTTTTTCTTCTAATTTCTTAATATTTCATTAATTCATTCCATGTTTTTTCTTAGAAATCACATGTCTTGAAATTTAAAATTTTGAATTTTTTTAATTATTTGATGAAATCAATAGCATGTTTGTCTATACAGGGAAGGGAAGTCTAGATCCAGATTTCTTAGCGGTATTATTCGTCATGAGTAAGTTTTTCAAATAACATCAAGGTTTTAATAGTCGGTCTCATATTTGATCCACACCATTAACGGTTGGTATTATTTTAAAAAAATAATTTGATTGGGTATTTTGTAACGAATGACATTATTTATTTTGTAATTAATAAGGGAAATGATTCCACGGGAAAATTTGGAGAACCCAGCTAGCAAGCATGCACTTGCAAAGGAAATTTCAGTTCTTCGAACTAAAAAAAGAAACGTGTTTATTAATTAAAAATATTAATTGTTTTCTTGAAAATAAGTGTTTTCCGAGTCACTAGTTTTTTTGGAAAATTAAAAAACATCAGAATATTTTTAAAAAATATATCAATTATAAAAATAAATTAGAGGTATTGTTCATCTATTATGGTTTATTCAAATAATATCCACATAAAATTGAGGGGGTATTTTGTAGCGGAAATCATTATTTAGAAAAGGTTTTATTTTTAGGGAACATAGGACTTTTTGCTAGCTGGGCATAGTTGTCTTTTCAGTCGAGAGATTAAAAGGAGACAAAACGGTTTTCATAAGAATTTCAGAGGACTGACATTGTCAACCCAACGCCATCCATTCCATGGCTAGCTTATTTGTCCAGAGACTTTGTCATGGTTTGAATTATTATTTTTAATATAAAAAAATATTTAAATATTATTAATAATTATTCTAGTAAAAATTTAAATCATATTAGCGTGGATTCAATATTACCCAATAAATTTAAATATAATTTGGGTAACCATTAAAAAATATAATTTAACTAAAAAAAATTAAAATAATATTTTTATATACATATTGAAACAATAATATATTATGTTAATTTGTTAAATTAACAATCTATATTCTAAGACTTTGATATATAAATCAAGTTAAAAATAAATTATAAAATTTAATTTTTAATTAATTTAATATTTAATAATAAAATTTTAAAAAATTGAATCAATAAGATTAACAGTATAAAAAATAAATTATAATAAATTATAAAATTTATTTTTTAATAAATTAAATATAAAATGATAATTTTTTAAAAAAAATAAGATAAATTAAAAAGGTATTATATGGGCTAATTACCATCTCTTTTTTATAATTAATTGATAACATTTTGATGTGGTTACATATTCGTTGACTTTGCTTACGCAGACGCTGATAGCCCACGGAGAAGACAAAGTCAAATAATTAACTGGAAACATTTTTTCCACTTTTCTTCTCTTTCACATTGTATGAACGCGTGAGGGGTAGTGAAAACATCAACCGCTATTCTTTTTTAACAAACAAAAAGTTTGCATGGGCTTGCTTGCAAATTAAGAAATATTTTAAAATGTGCAAGGAAAATATTGGTTTCTATAACACTGTTTACATAGAAATTAATTTGGATTGCTATATATATATTTTTTTATTATACCCTTATATACCCAAATTAATAGCCAATCAAAGCACATTTATTAATAAAAAGTAAGATTGAAGATAGGGGGAATAAGATGAAAAGAAAAACAAAAAAAGATGATTTTTCCAAACTTAGAGCTAAATATACACTTTAGCTATCTAACTCTTTAAATTATAAATTGTTAGTCCCTAATAATTTATGAAATTCAGTTTTAGTACTAGAGTTTATTTACTTACCTTACTTTTTGGTTCCTAATTTTAGAGAAAAAAGATAAAATGGGTGGATTCAGATGATAGAGGAAGAAAATCTTAGTGAAGATCGATTATGACTATAAAAAAATTGATTCCAGTGTTAATAAAATCCTTTTAATAAGAAAAGTTTATCTAAGGTGTCCCCCTCCTCTAAACTTGCTTGAAATGACATATCTGAATTCAAAAATAATTTTTCTTTTGGGTTAATTATGAATTTTAAAGCTAATTTTTGAGTTGTTAGAGTCCATTGATATATGTTTAGAAGGTTTTTAGGGTGTTTTTATTTTTTATTTTTCATGTCAAAGTATGGTTGAAAGCGGCTTTTTATTGATCTGAAACAGACCAGCTTGATTTTTCATTAACAAGAGTTCATTGGAATCTAGGCGATGCATTGCTTGATATTTTTGTCAAAGTATTAATATGTGGATGACTTGTCATCTACATCTTAAGAAAATTTTTATAAAACAAGGCGCAGACGCATGGGTTGCTCAAGAACTTTGGGCTTTCCTACCTTGAAAGACTGGATTTTTGTTGTTTTTTTTCCATTTCTTTTCCATTACAACTGCATTTCTTTTCTTGTATTATTTTTCAATTTAGTTGTTTCATATTTGGTTGATTGTTAATTAAGCAACGTAATTTATTTTGGTTTGATTTTTTTTCCAATTACTTTGATATTCTATTGGCCCATGATTTTATAGATTGTCTATTTTAGCTAAAAATAAATTATATAAAAAAATTGTTGAGCTCAATTGAATCTATAACTCGGCTCATAGATTTGGATGATTAGCTTTTGCTAGGTAAGGATTGGGCTTGATAATTTGTTTGTTAAATAAATAGTTTTTAGTTTATTTAATTAGATGTATGCATAAACTTTTTAAATGTCACTTGAGATTTATTTATTTATAAAAATATGCTATAAAAATCTATATATATTTTTTTTTAAAAAAGAAAAAGATATTTAACCCGTAGTAAAATATAAGTTAAATAGTTAATTTATTACCGAACACAATCCAAGAAAAAAAGAGGGCAGTCCATATGTTATGTATAACATAAACTTGTATGTATCTTTTGACTGGGAAAGGTGCCTTGGACTTTTTCCAACTTCCACTAAAATACATCGGCATCTCAATTCTTTGTTGTGTCATAGCAATGGGTGTTTGTTTTTGTGATTCAATTTATTTTTTAAATTGATTTTTGTTTGAAAAACATTAAATTTATGTTTTTTAAGTATTTTAATTTTTTTTTGATATATTAATTTTAAAAATTAAAAAAAATATGAAAAATATTATTTTGATGTATTTTCAATTATAAAAGTGATATGAACCTTATGGAAATAAAAATCCAGGAACCAACAATCAAATTAACCCTTCATAAGAAAGTTAAATTCATAATTATAATTGGGTTTGACATAACAATAACATGTACTAAGACACCAAGACTATAAAATTCAAACCCCACTCGCTGTTTATGAAGAGACGAGAACAAAAGGTATAAAAAACACCATAAAGTTTGATTAATTCTTCGATAAGTTAAAGTAGTTAAATGAATAACCAAAATATGAGAATCCTCTCACAAATACATAATAAAATTATTAAAAAATGAAAATGAATATAAGCTAAATAAATTTATTTATAATAAGTAAAGACATCATAAACCATGTTAGAAAAATAATAAAAGAGTTTAAAAAAAAATAAAAAAAATCTTATATCAACTAGGAAATTAATATAATTAATACATAGTAGTTTCTGGACTTTATTGCTAGGTTGGTACAATATTAAATTAACTCAAAATTTTAACTTAATATAAAATAAGATTTCTAAAAATTTCTAGTGAAATTTCAACTCAATCCAAAAATCTGATCAAATATTATAAATATTAGCGTAAAACTACATAACAGAAGAAATAAACTCAAAATTGCTTCTAGTATTTTTGAATGATAAGAAAACCTTATTAATGAGAAAATACACAAGATAAAAGAAAACACAAGATACTAATATTGAAACTCTTGTAAAAATAATCTTAATTATTGTTATCTATACTTTTTTAATATGAAAAATAATTCTTACTAAATAAAAGTATAAATTATAAAGAAACGAACAACAAACCCCTACAAAAAATTTTTATATAATTTTAAATATGTTATTCTCATGCGAGTTAATTGTTAAACATATTATATGTGAATGAAAATCTTAAAATATTTAGTTTTTATATCAATTAGAATTATAATAAATTTATGCTTGAAATTTCAGATATAATCCAAATAATACATACTAGTTTCGCTTAATATATTCGCAACTTGTTAATCAAAATATTCAAAATCAACTCAATTAATTTTTGTTGAATCTTTTTAGTCTTGGAGCTTATAAGAAACCTAATTGATACCTTTAATAAATTCTTCAATGATACTCCCTAATTCGAAAAAAAAACTATCCTCCGTTGGGTTACCAAACACACTAAAATTGAAATTT